GAAAATAGGAGGGATGGGCAAAATTTTTAACTATAAGGAGAAGCCAATGTTACGCCAAACCAATGATGTCAGCATTTTAATGATTTTTTTTTTTCTCTGAAAAGTTACAAATTCAACACAAAACATGAAAATGACTGACTTCAGAAGAGGTGCATTCAAGCCATTAATAATTAAGAATAAGAACGTGAATAGCTTTATTTATCTGGCCAACATCATTTACTCTTAAAACCTCACCTTCACAAACAACATATTTTAATAAACTAACCTAAAACCTGAGATGTAAGAACATTTGGATTATATATAGCCTAGTGTCCAACATCGACAGGCCATAAACAAACAAACAAACATACGATATGATTGGAAGTGGGGTTGACTTCATTTCATGCTCTAAAAATACACATGTATTTCTTTGTTCCTAATAGAAGCATAAATAGTAAAGCCATAATAAATACCTTAAAATGGTCTTTGTTCATTCATGTTATTAAAGTAGGCCAAATCATAACAGACTGACATCAGTGACTTATGATCACATTCACCTCATTTATTCATTTTTAACTCATATTAACGTTAATTCCGGTATGAAATGTGAAATACGTACAAATTTAGTTAGCTTTTGTTGATTTTCTAAATGAAAACAACCCCATTAATATTAGCAAAGGAGCTAGCGGATACTTATCAACCGTTTAACATCAAAATCCATTTCGAAGTGCACTAAAATACAAAATTACGCCAAAAACGCTTAGGTTCTACTGTTTTTAAGCTCAAAATCAAGCATTTTGGCATTGTGCTGCATTAACGTTACATCTCAGGGCTGTTAGCCACCGAGCTAACGATGATTTAAAACTCCTTACCTTACGATTATGTTACTGAATGAAGGCCTCACGTGCAACATTTCCCACACAGAATAATTCTAAAATACGCATTACGATCACATTTCCATACATATAGTTGTTAAAGATGATATTTTCTGTCAGGATACGTCTGCAGGTGGTTAGCGGATGCTAATAGAAATGGATGGCGGGTGTCACAGCGGAGAGTCATTATGATATCATGTTATAAACTCACCCCGATGACCACATTATCGTCTGCTTGAAATTTGGGGATGTATTTGTCTCCCCTCATCACCTCCGAACTGTTTAAAGGCCGAAAACGGCACATGACTTTGATGGTGCACTCGGCCGGGTCCGCCATCTTCAGCTGTGAGGAGGAGGATGAGGAGGGTGATGATGATGATGATGATGAGCGCTCACTCCCGACCGTCCTCAGCTCGGTGCGTTTGGTCGGTTTAGGTGGAAGTGGATTTTGACAGAATGGGTTTTGGATGGAGGAAGTGAAGTTGCGGTCACACCCCCTAACAACACACACGCACGCACGCACGCACACACACACACACACACACACACACACATACTGAAACAAGCAGGGGCAAGTTGTCACACTGGAAAGCTGTCACAAAGGCTATTTCTTAGCAATTCAGCCCTTAAGAAGAATAAAAATGCAACAACCTGGATTTACATGAAAAAGTACTTTACAGTTTCAGAACAAAATTCACTAAAAAAAGAAAAAGAAAAAATTCTAAAATCACTACATCTTATTGAGACATTGTGACAACTTGCCCCATAATGAATCAAATGCACTCTTATCAAGTCTCAAATTCTACAACACAACTCCTTGTTTCTGTTTTTGACACAAGTGTTTTATACTATATATTATTCCAGTAAACATCAAAATGGGCACACACACACACACACACACACACACATACACTTTGCAGACGCAGCATTGATTCTGGATGATTCAGGGATCCGTTGGATCCTGATGGATGTGTGATGCCAGGGGATGTCAGAGATGCTTTTGCAGAGCTGGAGGCTGAACACACACATATATATATATATATATATATACACACACACACACACTGATGAATTGAGCAAAACAATAAAAGGATATGCATTAAGAAAATAAATTTCAATGTCATGTTGACTTTAAGTAGTGTGACTTTGTGACTTTATCATCACATCATTTTTAGCATTTTAAGCAGTGGACATGATCCTGTAACTCAATGGACTGAAACCATTTTCTAGTATCATCCTCAGCTTGTTTCATTACACCTGAATTTCTATTAGGGGATCAATAAAATGCATCAATCTCTGTGTCCTTTCACTAAACCCTCTAACACGTCTGTTCAATAGACTGCAGGAATGTATGTGTGTGTGTGTGTGTGTGTGTGCGTGTGTGTTTCTGTTATCTGTGGTCGTCACACTGCATGACCCAGTCACACCTGTTGCCACTCTTGGTGAACATCAGGACATCACCGCAGGCGACAGGAAGCTGGAACGACTCGTCTCAACAGCCCGGGTTAAATGGACAGATGGATGAGAGAGATAGAGGGAGAGACCAACAGAAAGGAGGAGAGCTCAGCTGGGATTCAGAAAAAAAACAGGCTTTTCTGGGTGTTGCCAATCTAAGGGACTTTCTCATTAATTTGACCAATTAAAACCAAAGAAAATACCAGGGCAGAGCTGCAAAAAAAAAAAAACAATTAGTGACATTCAGATGATCTGATGAAATAATTTGCTTTATATAAGTAACAATTTAAGGCATCGTTTCATTATTATTCATTATGTTGCTCCAAACCCATGTTTTTTTTTATGCTTATATCATTCAGCATTCAGATCACATTCATGGTGCTGTTATTGTGATTTTCCCCTTTTTGGAGCTTGACAGTCATGGTTGTGAACCGTGAACCGTGGCTGTATGGAAAAGAGCTTAAAAACAAAAATAACAACATTTCTTCACATATGAGAAATAAAATAACTATGTAAGTTACATAAATAACTGTATTTAAATAAAAAATATATATATAAATAAAACACACACACACACACACACACACACACATGTCTGGTCAGCTATCCTTGTGGGGACTCTCCATAGGCGTAATGGTTTTTATACTGTACAGACCGTATATTCTACTGCCCTACACCAACCCTACCCCTAAACCTACCCCTCACAGGAAACTTTGTGCTA